GGGCGCCAGCTGCATGCCGTGCAAGTGCAGCTGAAGGAGCATCTCCATGAGGATGACCGAGGTGGGCATCTTCTTGCTTTTGTCGTTGAGATGCGAGTACACGTTCCCTTGGTTGTCACTGACCAGGGGGATCCTGAGGTTCGGGATGAAAGCCGGCGCCTTTTCCATGAGAAAATGGGGCAGAACTAGGGTGCCGAACATCTCTAAGGCCGCGATGCGCTTCTTCGGGCATCCCTTATCAAAGGCCCACGGGTGGTCCTCAGGGGTGACCTGGTAGTGGAACCAGAAGACTTCCGACTTGCTGGGGGAAGCCACCCACAAAGGCGCTGCCATGATCAGAGGCACTAGCATCACTAGCCCCTGACCAAATGGCAAGCGGAGCGTACGGCGAAGCTCGCCGGAACTTCAGGTCGAAAAGAGAGAGTAAAAGGGCAGAGAGTGCACGAATCAGCTTTCCCGGTCGTCCTGCTGTCAAGCAGGCCTTCTTCCAGGCCCAGAAGGGCCTGGAAAGGTTTAGTGAGGGGACACGCCGTTGTCGCCCACTGCAATCTACCCAAGGCACTGGCAATCTGAGATGCTGACATGACTTTACCACTCTTAAGCTCTTCCAGGATGCCCATTACAAGCAGATGCTTGTCACGGGCCATCTGCACGCAGGGACCCTTGGGATCGATGACGAAACCCAACCAGGTGTTGACCTCAGCAAGTAGGGTTTTCTTCCAGCTAAGGGGGGTACCCAAAGCAAGCAGCAGGAGGCAGAGCGACATGGCAAGGAGGGAGGAGCTGGACTCACGGAGCAACCAGGCAAAATCGTCCACGAACACGAAGCCCCAGTCAACCTCCGGAAAAACAGCATAAGCAATCCTCAGCAAGATGGCAGCCATGCGGCCCCAGTAGAGTTGCGCACTGGCCATACCATAGGTCCATAGGTGCCTACAGTATTAACCCACCATTCGTCCCCAAGCTGGGTGGGCAACCTGATAGCGCCATTCGCGGAGAAGAACCTTAATGCGCCTGTGTGCCTTGGTGACATCGGCTTTGAAAAGAACCCATTCCTCAGTGGGGGCCGGGAACTGCCAAGGCCGGCCGGAGCCGGCGCTGGCGTCACCAGTGCCGGAAAGCCGAGAATTTTGGGAGCCACCCGCCTGGCGGTGGTGCAGAGTCGACGGCCGAGCACCTGGGTCCAACGGTTCCAGGGGCTCAGGCACCTGGGTCACTGCGGGACCGCGCTGAGCGAAGCCAGTGCAAACATTGGACACAGTCCATGACTGTGGGGGCAGTGGTTTTCTCCCCTCCCTTCGAGCCATCAATGCCAGCCATCGGGCATGGGCAAAGCTCTTCCTCAGTGCAGTGGCAATGCATGAGCCGCAGCTTCAGCACGAGTGCAGGGTCCGATGACCATACCTAGAGGAGTCTCTTCCACAAAGGTCGCTCTGATCTCATCTTGAAACAAATCGGCAGAAGGTAATTCTTATACCCCGAGGGGGGAGGTGCCTCAATTGGGTCCCCCTCTTCCCCAATGAGCTCAGACTTGAGGGGCCAGACGCCTGGAGACTGGAGCGTGGGTGTGTCCACCCCCAGGGGCACGCCCTCTTTGAGGGTAACTGGGTAGCCAGAGTCAACATCTTTAATATCCTCGAGCAGTTTGCGGATCACATCGAGGAAAAACGGTTGCCCAGCATCATGCTGGGGGTGTTGTGGGAGAATGAAATCGCGGATCTCCTTCAGCACCGATTCCGGGAAAGGGTGCTGTTTGGAGCCCGAAGCTGTAGAGGCCAAAAACTCAGGGACTAGGGGCAAAGCCTTACGCTTAATGAAGTTTTCGAGGCCGGACGCTTGGGCTCCTGTTCGCAGATGGGGTGGAAGACGACCCGGGGAGGTCTTGCCTCCGCCATCTCTGAGAGGCCTAACTTTGAAACCGTGGGCCACCCTCATGGTGGCGTCATCGAGGGACAATCTTTCGAAGAGAGGAGCGTGATGGCCGGTCAGACCCTATCTCCGGGGCCGCAAGCACATGATCGCCAGCATGGGTACCTGCACCAGGAAACCCAGCTTGTGGACGCTGCCCTCCCAGCGAGGGCAGGGAGGGTAGCACAGCCGCCCCAACGGGTGCTGCCCCTTGAGCCGTCCAGCCAGGACGCTCCTGTCCCAGCAAAGGATCAAGGCCGGATTCCAGAGGATTAAGAAAGGCCTGAACCGGTCTTCCGATGGAGGAACCGGAAAGCATGCGCACCAGCGAGGCCGCAATTTCCTTAAGCATCGACTCAGGGCGTCGAGTGCCCATGGGAACTGAACTCTCCGGCTTCTGGTGATCCGAGTGCGTGCAGAATTTGCCATCCCAATCTTTGAGGGGGAGGTTCGTCACTGCCCTCGTGGGGCGTCGCTCAAAGAAACCTGGCAAAGATCGAAATGAAACTCCGAAAGCCGCAAATCCGAAATCCAGGCCTGAAGGGCCGGAGTAGCCCAAGCTGAGGAGCAGCGTTTCCTCGCAGGAGAGGTCGCACCTCGTGCCGGGTCCTCAGCAAGTTCGAGGAAGCACATGGGAGTGACCTTTTTGAGTGGACGACTTGGCTGCCAACCATGAAAGCAGAAGGAATCTCAAGAGCAAGAGACTCTCCTCATCGGCAATCTTTAAGGCTTCGACAGGCAGGGCTTGTATGCCCCAGGCATCCCGAGCGTTGCGTGATCGCTCGGCATGGAAATCACCTGAGTCCTGAAACCACCTATCTTTACCCCAAGTGTGCAAATCCGGGCAGGCACCCACAAAGGAGATGCCCCCCTGCAACGCTGCAATGCAGAGTGCCCCGTAGAGAGCATCGTCCAAGAGGTCTTTGCCATTCGGTTTTCGTGAGGAGTCAAATGCCAGAACTCTTGAGGAGAGGTCTGGGGCCTGAGAGTGAAGGATTGCTTCCAAGGAAGAGGCATCGTCTCTGCCCGCAAACGGCAGCACAATGGAATCCTTGGGGATCTGGGTAGCAGAGCAGTCGGAAGACCACTTGAGTCTGTCCACAAGACGGTTCGGGGGAGCCAGCTTAGAGTTGCCTGCAAGCAAACAGCCCGGATAGTGGTTCTCAATCCAAAGCCCAAGCGAGGAGGGCCTGTCATCCAAGGATCCACTATTGGCAGGTTCCCGCCCCTGTGCATCGGATCCATGCACAGCGGCTTGGCCCGCTTCGAGCTGTGCCGTGGTCTCCCCAAATCAGGGCCGCCGGCGCCTAAAACTGGGGGAGAACACCATGTCTCCTTGGATCCGCTACCTTCCCGTTCAGGGCCCACGGCACCTGGACTCGGGAGCCCTCACTTGTACGGGCAGTTGTCGGGACTATGCTGGTGCGGGGGTGCGTTGCACACCCATCCATCCTTAGTCACAGGGCAGTTGTGGGAGCGCCCACAGTTGCCTGCACACTGCTTTTTGATGTGGTAATCGCGGCAGAGGGGTGTGCCCTTGGGATTGTTCCTGGACCAGTTCAGGGGCCAGGCATCCTTCCCTTTACCTTTCGGGTCTCCCTTCTTGCCAGAGATGTCCTTCCCTTTTCCATTCTGCTTCAGGAAAGGTTGGAAGACAGGCTGGTAGGCAGACCAAGGCTGCTTGCCCTTCCAGGTGCCCTTGCCCGGGAGCCTCGCGAAGGGTTGGCCTTTATCACGTTTGGGTGACCCCTTATTACCCTTCTCACCAGGTCTAGGGACCCTTTCGTAGACCTCACGTGTCCAGAAAAGGACGTCAGCACGAATCTCTAACATGGCTTCTTTCAGCGACTTGCCTTCAAAGACAAGGTTGTGGATGGACCGCCATGCGTTGCGTTCTGCATAGAGAAGGGTTTTCTCCGAAGGAGCAGGGGTTCGGCCCGCGATATCGGGTCCCCAAAACCAGTCGTACCAGTCATCAAGGTCATGCTTGGACACGTCAAACTGAGTGAACTGCGGAAATGCAAGCAGGCACATGGACAGATTGTTGCGAAACACGCGATGCATTCGATCGAGGTGTCTCCGCGTAGTCGGAAGCTTCCGTTCCTCTTCCTCCTCTTCCTTGTCCCAACCGTCCACAGTCACCTCGCGCTTGGTCTTGAACGGCTTCTCCTCAAGCTCCGGGAGAGCACTGACGATGTACTTTGCATTGATGAACCGTAACTCACCTTTGGAGCAAAAGCGGAATTGAGTCTTCAGCAAGGCTCAAGCTTGGGCTTGGGGAGGCCAGTTTCCTTTACCCATTCCGTGAGGAGCTGATGCCTGTCGCAGAGAGCTTCGAGGCCCGAGCGCTCCGAAGGACCCTGGCCTGGGGTGATGCACGAGCGGGGCACATAGAGATTCTTAGTCATGTCCTTAGCAGCCTTGATTGCCTGGAAGAGTCTCATGGCCGTGAAAGCACAACTTTGATCAGTAAAGCCATTGGTCCCAGATTCAAATCCTAGTGCCCTGGGCCCATTGGTTCTAGCAGCAGCCGGATCATCCCAGCGATCCGCGATGTCTTCAAGGGTGACATAACCCTCCTGAGCTAGGGCCGCTTGAACTGAGTAAGGGATCTGTTTCCTAGCAAACAGCGTGGCCACCGACGAGTGGAGCTTTGCCAAGTCGTTGGCATAAGCATCCGGAATCCCTCAGGGGGCTTTGATAGGGCAGCCATTGGGACGGGTGGGCGGGTGAAATTTCCAAAGGACCCGAGGTCC